CCTAAATATACTATAGTAATTTCCATTTTCTTGTCCATTATCCCTATATAACCCCAATATACTATAGTAACCCGAAACCCTAAACCCTAATAACCCAAAGCCTCCCAGACCCCACTGCCCTCGAGATACGCGGCTGTGGGACGCCTCGAAGGGGACCGGCGTCCCCACGCACACGCCTGGCACTTGAAGCCCGGGGCCAAAGGATATGGAAACTACTATAGTATATTGGGGTTATATAGGGATAAGGGTATAAAAGAGGGATAATGGAAAAGAAAATGGAAACTGCTATATTGGGGTTATATAGGGGATATATAGGGATAATGGAAAAGAAAATGGAAACTATAGTATAATTAGGTATATATTGGGGTATATATAGGGGTTATATAGGGAGTATATAGGGGTATATTGGGATAATGGAAAAGAAAATGGAAACCACTATTTAGGGTTTAGGTAGCATTTGAGATCCTGTTGATGCGGCACGTGCAATCAGGACAATCAAGACTACGGTTCGAGATCCTGTTGACCCGCACTTGCTCGACATCTGGGAGACGGGGTCTTGATCCCATCAGACCGCAAAAGGAAGTTACTCCTACTCATTAAGTGATGCAAATGCATAGGTTCTAGGCTAGACCTGCCCGCAGTGCCTGCCCAAGACCACCACCACCCCATTGCCCGACTTGTGTTGACAAATGACCAAAGATTCCTTTAGCTCCCTGCTGCTCGCTTGAAGGCAGCACGCGCCAGACGGCATGAGAGAACATTACTCCCATGCCGATCATGAGAACCCCAAACCTGCAGGCAGTGCTTGTGTTTGTCTTCAGACGGCAAAACTCCAAAAGAACAGAGCGGGAAGCAGGTACCGTAGACCTACATAAGCTTTGACGTCTTTTCGCCTGCCAGAGTATCTGGAAGAGGTTGTGCATGGTGCCAAATTCAACGGGCTACCCAGGACTACCCGAAAACTTAGACTGGGTTGCTGTTAAGGGACTTGTTTTAAGTTACTATATTGGAGAAACCTTATTAAATATGGCATTTGTTATACATATTCCTTATGGTAACTTAATCCAAACCCTAAACCCTGTATACCCTGTATATACCCATCTTGGTTACTTATGTTAAGTTCCTCAACAGCAACCCATAATGAAACCTAGAAGCTCAGACCTTAGGCGAACGGAAGGCCCGGTACTTCCAGAGCCGCTTCCACGATTCAAGGAGGCCCCACCTGCGACTTATTCTGCCCCATTATTATTGCTACGATTACTATCATTGTTATTAATACTATTACTACTCGTATTATACCTTTTACTATTAGTATTATCATTATTGATGTTAATACTGTAGTATTACTATCATTGTTAATATTACTGCTATCAATTTACAAGTTCGATATACAACCATGCTGGTGGCCAAGAAGCAATATTTGCGATACATGGCTGCGAGGACGTAGCTTCGGTACATGGAGCCATGGAGGTCCTAAATGTGTGTTCCAGAATAGCTGGGGTTCAGGACCATAAGCTATAACACCGTGCCATAAGCCATCTTAACCCATACTAATAGATAAAACCGTAGGCACGCTACATCTCTTCAGCACCAGCCTCACTCCAGTTGGCATCATTTACTGATGAAGTGCCACTACTGAAACAATGATGGTTGTGATGATGCTGATGGTGGTGGCGGTGATGATGATGCTCATCAAAACCCCTGTACTTGATTGTAACTACTTGGTCCTCATGCTTGTGTTTTTGGGTTACTGTGAGGCATGGCACTCCCTGTGACAGGATGAGATCCCTTCCGACAACCCTGCGAACTCTGAAGAGCCAGTGCTTCTTGCCGGGAAAAAAAAGCAAGTATCCTGCTACACGCCCATGTGAGGATCCTCAAGCACCATGAGTCTCGTGGGAAGGATCTTGTGAACCAAGACGCCCGCATTGTGACACCTTCTTGCTGGCATAAAACGGTTGGGAGGGCTGGGTTTAAAGCAACTGGGATGCTTGAGCATGGTCTGCTCATGACACTATTAGAGGGGAGAGTAGCAACTCACTTACTTGATTGCCCTTGCCGGCTTGCTGCCCTACAACCCCGTGCAGGAAGCGAGCGAAGTGAGCACAGGTTCAGGATTTTCTTGCCGTACGCGGCATTACGACGTACAGTCGCTTGTGGCCAGCATGCTTCACAGCTACTGCATACATTCCTCCAGTGTAGTCCATGGCAGCTTTCGGAGTGTGACAGTTGCAGGCGACATTACCTCATATGTTTAGCATGACGCGGTGTACAGACAGGCGCGATGTTAAAATTGGTTCGTGCGCTGCTCTCACAATTGTGCTGGCAGGAGTGTGCCGTTTCGGGGTCGCTGCGAATGGTTCCATTAATGAGCAGCAATGTATGCTGCCATGATCCACGCCCCTGGCTCTGCAAAGCAATGACATGTGCAGGAGGCGTGGCTTGAATGCGTTCTTGTACGGCTGGCCTTCACCTCACCATATACTAGACGCCAGCGTTACAGTACATGAGCTACTGTCAAAATGGGCTTATTCCGGGACGCTGAACACTGGACATAGGGGTCGCTTTGTAGTTTTGTATGGCCCCTATTGCAGTCCCTAGTAAGGAGTTCATGTGCATGAATCATATGGCGAAATATTGACTATAGCTCACATACTCGATGGATTTCGCTGGTGAGCAGCAAGTTCCATGATCGTCATGCGCAGTTGGCAGGGTGGACTTTGCCGAATGAAGGGATAAATACATCCGCCAGCGATTCTAAGACCTTCAACGGTCTTGCGGGTAGGTACTATAGCTCAACGCGTCCAGGATTCCTTCCAGGTAAAATTCAAGCATTTTGAGTTTTCACGGTCTTTTAGGGCTTTTGGAGGCATGTGGAGGCCTTCCAGCGCCAAGAAGGAACACCAGACTATGGCGCTTGCCGTGGCTGTCTCAAGCGCCTTTCGGCGTAGCTGCTGTGCTCGACAGGGCCGCCAGGCGCGGCCGTAACTTCAGCATATGGAATCCAGGGGTGGCTGGGACAGCATTCGTTCCAGTTCACTGCCAGTTCCATCACAAAACAGAGTGATGCATCGGAGCGCGCGCGATTGTAAAGAGGGTGCTTTCATGCGTTTGCAACGCAATGTGTCAGCTTGACGCATGGCGTTGTTGCAGCACACTGACATAAAGACCACCCTGATGGACCCCTAACTGTCCAACCGCAGATCCTCATGATACCCCTCCTTCTCACCTCAATTCTCTACTCTGCTAGGGATGAACAAGAGCATCCTGTTGGCAGTCGCTTGGTCCCTTGCTGGGGCCTAAGAAAGTCCTGACTCTGTGGTTGCAGTCTTGACAATTTGTTTCAGCGGCACTCAGCTTCAGCGTTTGAGCACGCCTCGCTGTGAGCCTAGGTCTGTCCATCAGTCGCGCAGGCCCTCTTTGAGTATGGGAGTTTGCAAGGCTGCATGCGCAAAGCCATATCCTGCGGAGATCCATCCATGCCCACTGTTGGCATTGGTTGTTAGTTGTTGCATGTTCTTCTTTGGTTATACGAGCTCGAGGCGCTGTAAATCAAAATACTAGAAGCATTTTGCCGGGTCCAGAACTGGTGGAGCGTTTGGTAGCTTTGCTTTCAGATGGGCGGGTTCACCAGGGCTCTTTTCTGGAAAGACAGCCAATCAAGAACATGTTGTTCCCGTACCTGCGTCGCAAGCTAATGTTCGTTGCCCTCATCCCACGGCAAGCTTTGCCGCAAGAAAACAGCCAGAGAAGATCCGACAAATGACTGACCTCAGGGTAGGAGCCTGGAATCGACCTTGCTTCTATGACAGGAACTTGTGGCCTTGAACCCCAGTGGCAGCGAGTGCCGGGGTCCAGGGCCCAGCGATTTGATAAGTCTTCCCGGTCACGCTTTCTGCTTTGTGTGTGGGAGGAATCCTTAGGCCGTTGCATGCTGCTTGCTTACTGCGCAGACTGTGCAGACAGAATGCTAATGCAGGGATTTGCTGTTTGCCCTAAGCCCGGGGTTGTCTGCTTCTTGCTCAGCGAGGGCTGACGTTTGGGGGCTCGAAGCCTTTTTCCTATCCTGCAGAATGTGTACAGACCATGCTTGCGAAGCGACTTGTTTTTGAAGTCCAACACGATGTCTGCAAGAGCCTGCGCAACAGCACTCAGCTCCAGCTCTTGCTCCAACAAATTTGGCTGGTGCCCATCGCCTGGCCTTCCAACTCAAACGGGCTCCACATCTGGAGGTTCACGGTGTGATACACGAACAAGAACGAGATTCTGCCAAGCTTCAGACCGATCATTGCCACTCACGCCCGCACAAAGACAACAAGTCCTATTGCAAGCCAGCAAGCAAGCAAGCAAGCAAGCGAGCAAAGCGCGAACGTCTTCGTACTGTCGCATCAGCAGTTCAGGGCCTTCTATACTTCATAAACTTTGGATTGGAAAATGAAATCAGAAAAACTAGCAGAAATCGAGGATTGGCAGGAAATCCCAAATTTGTAGTTAGATGTTCTCTCTTTCAAAACCATTCTTTTATTTTAAGACAGGAACTCAGAGCGCTACAGGGAGACCCACATTCTAATTCTAAGTACATGTACCATGCACGCCTTTCTACAAGCATGATGAAATCCCGAAAGAAACAGGAAATCTCCAAACTCCGGCACATGATTCTTTACAATGACCTCCCTGATAGCTCAGAACTGACCTCCGATTCATGATTATTGAATGTTCCCGTATTTAATCGTCTTCAGTCTTCGAAGATAGACTTCTCTTTCAAGAGTAGCCTTCAGGATTTTGATATTCCGGATGTGTCACTTATTGTTCGGGCATTTTTACTAGCAGCGGGAAGGGATTGACGGAAGCAAGCAATGCCAGGTTATTACACACTTCATTCGTCTGTTGCCTTAGAGCAGGACTGCAAGGACATCCGCTTCCAGCGTTATGCAAGATCTTTTCACAGGTGCATGAAGCCAGCATGGTGTGCGTGTGTGGGTCGGCAGGTTAGCATTTGCTGCGAAGGACCTATGTCTCGCAGACGCGGTCAGCAGCTCAACCTGAAGCTTTCTTTGCATGTTACTTGTGACTCAGACGCGAGTCTGACAAGAGACTGCTAAAGAGAAAGGGCAGCGATGCACCTTGAAGATGATGAAAGACTAGTTCTGGTTGGACGCTCAAAAGGGCAGCAAACCCATCGCGCCCCGTGCCCAGGCTTGCACGGGAATCGAGCACAGTTCGCTCTTCTCGGAATGCCAGGTCAGGGAAAGGGAGGTACAGAGTTTTCCTGTTCGCCTGGTCGCTCTTGTGTCCAGGTTTGGACAACTTCCATAGACTCCTTTGTGCCGTCTGTGGGCTGCTTGGCTTATCCAGGATCTAGAGCCACATCATAGCGCGGTAGTGGACAACAGTTTTTCTGCCTTTAAAGGAGGCTGTATCCATGGTTCCTGTCGTTATCGCCGTTGCTGTCCGGAACGCAGCTTGATTTGCCGAGGCTATGCGTGCTACGTACTTCAGTGGCCAACAACCACCTCTGCAACAACGACAAGCCTATTGATCGCATTGGGCACCTCCCAAAATATTCCCCAGTCCACGACATGTCCCGAGGGAAGAACGTAGATAGGTACTTTGGCAGACCTGGTTTTCAACTGTGCCAGCTGCAGAAATGGCTGCAGGGGTCCACAACGATCCTGACTTTATGCATTCTGATCCTATGGCTTCAGATAGCTTATATCTCAGCTGGGTCACTTCAAATTCCTGGAGCCATCTTCATGCTAGGTACGGCAACAACCACGGTTTCAGAAACCTCGCAGACGGTTACCAGCAGTTCCAGCATCACTTCAAGCAGCCGGACGCAGACCACAACAGCAACGGCATCCTCGACAGTCAGTGTCACTCGGCGAGCACTCGGCGAGCATCCGCCACATTGTTCGAAATTGGCTTTCCTGGTTTTGACATGAGCTGAGGCCACTACAACGAGCGCGAGCACGACTGACAGTACAAGCACAGCAACCAGCACAAACACTCACACACATGTGTCGTCCACACGTACTGATACCACAACTGCTTCCTCATCTTCAACATCAACCCACGCATCAACCACATCCAGCGCCACAAGCAGTTCGTCGGCGACCACTTCAACGATGACTGCGGATACGTTTACAACACCTTTGCCTGCCAGCGAGGCAGGCTGGAACATGAGCGAGGTCAACCTCACAACCTCCTTCGCTGCG